GTTATATATAGAGACGTTACATGTACAAGGTAGAGCTACCAAACCATTATCTTATGTATTGATTAAACGTTATATATAGAGACGTTACATGTACAAGGTAGAGCTACCAAACCATTATCTTATGTATTGATTAAACGTTATATATAGAGACGTTACATGTACAAGGTAGAGCTACCAAACCATTATCTTATGTATTGATTAAACGTTATATATAGAGACGTTACATGTACAAGGTAGAGCTACCAAACCATTATCTTATGTATTGATTAAACGTTATATATAGAGACGTTACATGTACAAGGTAGAGCTACCAAACCATTATCTTATGTATTGATTAAACGTTATATATAGAGACGTTACATGTACAAGGTAGAGCTACCAAACCATTATCTTATGTATTGATTAAACGTTATATATAGAGACGTTACATGTACAAGGTAGAGCTACCAAACCATTATCTTATGTATTGATTAAACGTTATATATAGAGACATTACATGTACAAGGTAGATCTACCAAACCATTATCTTATGTATTGATTAAACATTAAATATAGAGACGTTACATGTACAAGGTAGAGCTACCAAACCAATATCTTATGTATTGATTAAACGTTATATATAGAGACGTTACATGTACAAGGTAGAGCTACCAAACCATTATCTTATGTATTGATTAAACGTTATATATAGAGACGTTACATGTACAAGCAGGTGGAACTTTCGGAATCAAATGTGATTGAATTTATCTCATACATGTAATTCAGTCCCGTCTAATTCATTCAATGTATTGGTGGAACCATTTATAACCGAAGAAAAACGTTTGTTTGAACAATATCAAAAACAGATTATTTCTGTTTCTTTTAAAGGGACATTTCAAATAATTTTCGTTCATTGCGTGATAACAAATACTGTAAAATGTATCCGTTCACAGATAGCTAAATGTAAATGCAGTTGATTCGTGATCTTATAAAAAGTTATGAAATCATAACAAATATCATACAAAGTAACTAAGCTTGATCACCACGGCCTTGCTCATTTCTGTTATTATTTTCGGCTAATTTAGATAATGGATATGATTTAAAACGAACATGCGTCGACCAGCAAAACATTGTGCAATATTAAACCTATTTAATTTAAAGCGTTTTTTAACACGTTTTGTTACATTTATTATTCAGTGAAATCGGTCTGGAGAGATCAGGATGGAGATGGGGTTGGGTGGGGTAAAGGAAAACCAAGTGAAACGGAGAAAGACCATGCAGTCAGACAGGTGATCAAATAACATTTAAAGTCAGCTACAAACTTATACAAATATTCTCGGTACACGTTGTATGCCTTACTGCGTCACGTTAGAGTGAAGGTAACAGATCACTGGGTGTTGATGATCCATGTCGTAAAATTAAAGTTATCTGTACAAAATTTGATGTATTTTTTGACTCCCGGATGTTCAACCATACATCAACACAAACTTTTTTTTAATTTGTCATTCAATATATTTCTACTATATATAGGTAAATTTCTATTATCTTTTAGTATTTTTATCTTATATTTCACTGCAGGACAAATCCTGTTGCAGTGGCAATGAACAGGATATGTATTTTTTGTTGGTAAGCTATACACGTACATTACATGTAAGAGTCCATGAGTGACTATAACTCAACCTAAGGCCAGCGTGAGTCATTATATAAATGTACATGCTTTGTTAAAGTTATTTAATCTTCGAGGTTAACTCGGTTTTGCCATTATTAGTTCTCTGTTCTTTCTTGTTATGTATATGTATTGGTATGAAATTAAAATATTGATAGTTTCCAATTAAATAAAATCCAATACTATTCGATATTTGACCGATTTCGATCAAAAGATACGTTACAGGTTTTGATTTTAGATAGATAACCGAGATACAAGGTATTTTTCCACCCAATTTCATAGATATCATTACTGCTTCCAACAAAACGTTTCCGTTCTGAAAATTAAGATTATTTTGCAAATGTAATATTTCGTACTTATCATCTTTGAGGGAAATATTTAGATATTGACGCCCTGTACGTGAAGATGGAATGCTAAGTTATGTTTTTCGGTATCGGAAGCTATATCATCATGGTGTTAACCTTTTAACCACTCTAAATCATAATACACTAATTCAGATTAATACATGGAAAGGCTACTTCAGATACATACGGGTGCAACGACAAAATTCGTTTTCTCACCTCGTATTTGTAGTGATTATGTTACGTCAACGGACCACATGTTGTTTGACATAAGCTCTGCATATATGGACCAAAATTTGATAATAATGTACACAACGAAATAGTTGCTGTAGTTTCTGCCCAGTTGCCCTCGTTTTTGAGAGCAAACAAATTACGATAGTTGATCTAGGAACAACTTGTGTGGTATATGATAATTAAAATGGTATGAAACAGTATCGAAATCAAATGAATAATCTTTAATTCTTGTGTGATTTTGATATCAAAGTTTTACTTTCTACACAAACAATGTACGTATTAAACGAGTCGCAACGTTTCAAGGCCGACTGGTCCCTTTGTCAAGCTATGACTGCGTGAGCGATTTGTATTGTTGACCTGTAAAACGATGTGACGAAGGGAACACCGGCTGAGTCATCTGCATGACCCGATACTGATATACACGTAACAGCGGAGGGGGGCTACGATTTATGTAGATCTACAACCTACCAGTACCCTATCGGATGCAGTGTGTATACGCTCCCTATCGATAGACGCAACCTCCCGGGTCGAGTGACATACAAAATATACAATTTCGTCACATCGTTGTACAGATAAAAAAGTACAACTCGTTCACTCGGTCATAGCTTGACAAAGGGACAAGTCTGTCTCGAATCTTTGTGACACGTTTAATAAGTACATTGTTCGCGTATAAAGTAAAACTTTGATATCACATATTTCCAATTCTGTGGTTTTTGCTTCGGGAAATAATAGGAAAGAACCCGTAATTGACCTACTTCACCATTCCAACACTTTAGGTCTATATCTTCTCCTGCTGCTCTTTTTCGGCGGCCTCTGCCCAGGCCCTATCTCCATATGACCATAGCTTGTGGTTAGGACGCTGAACGCAAGCCAAACAAAACTTCAACAAATGAAGTACGAATTTATTAATAGGGAAAATTCTCTAGGTATAAGGTTCTAATCGGGTTTGAACGGAATTATTTAAAAACAGATTTATCATTGGCCTTGGGGGAGTAAACGATACCTAAATACTGCAATCGACAAGTAATGCTGTGTATTAACAACATAAAAAGATACAGAAATTAAGACATGTGGAACGATCATTCATATTCTGGGAGGGTAATTATTACATTAGCTCTGAACTATTTTTCAAAACCATCTGAAATAACACATATACTATATGTATACTATAACTATGTGTGATTATTGAATAAAATTATGTTACAACCAATTTAAAATAGTATCGTATAAATCAGTAATATTTTATTTTTTTTTATAATGCAGATTTCCATCTGTACGGGCGATACGTATAGGGGTTGAGGATAACAAGAGGAAGGTCACATAATAATAATACTAATAAGTGGTTCTTATGTAACGCTTAGTATGTAGGTCGTCTCAAAGCGGTTCACATATTATTACCGTGGTTATGGGCTTTTGCAACCAGCATTTTAAGATATGTGCAATTATGACACGAATTTTTATTTGTTTAACTTAATACTACAAGTGAATTCTGAAAGGAGGAGCTGGCCGTATAGTGCAGTTAATATACTTTGTTTGGATTTCTGCACCAACAAACTAAATGTTCAAATGGGTTGTTCCTAACTTGCAGTTTTTAGTAATAATTATACGATCAACATATTTTTTAAGTAATAAAAGATGTAAGGGAAATAATAAAAACGTACAACACCTTTCTGGTAATATCACTGATATTTATTATACCATTAAACTTCGGCAGGTAGATATGATCTAGCATTTGATGCAACCATTTCAAACCCTGTTTTGTAAGAAAGCGTACAATTATGCATAATAATACTTTCAAAGTCACCGCCCAGCAGTTATCATGTAAATATATTCAACAAAATAGTTATCACAGTCAAGAAATGTAACGTTTCATTTGTAAAATACAAGAAGAAGTTCAATCCTGCACTTCAAATCAATTCTAGTACAAAAATAGATACATGTATATGTATTACTACATCTAACATATTATAACAGTTATGTTTATATATACACACACAGATTTTTATACTACACGCGACATATTTATATTGTTATATTTAGATATGATCTACTTTTGGCTATTAATTTAATGATACACTTTCTTAGATATATCGTATAGGCCAAACAAAACTGGATGACGTCATATACTGGAACTGTGCTTAAATAAAGGTATTTATTGGATATAAATGACACATTTACTCATCATTAACTTTACATTTAGTTGGGTTTTTATATACCCTTAACAAAAAGGGAGGGTTAACTTTTCCACATCTATGCTTTAGTTGTTTTTGAATATAATGGTAATATTTAGAATATTGCAACAGTCAAAGAAAAAAATTTAAACTAAGGTCATCCGAATTCTAAACGTACGCGTCAATTAATTGAGGATACTGTACTTTCTACATCAGTAGAACTTTCATAAATTGTCAAAGTAATATACAGAGATATGTCATTGAAGTTTGCCTTTTAGAAGATATTTATGATTATTCGTATTCCATTTTATGTCATAGATTTTGATCAAGGGACACTACAACTTATACATCAGTCAATTTAAACGTACATATGTTTCCAAAAATGCAAATACCAAAAATATGTAGAAAAGTAATAAATTATCTATATATACCTTTACATCAAAGCTAACAGGTAATGTCATATTATGAGGTTATACTATTTAAATAACACTGTGTTTTTAATGTTTTTAATTTACACGTGATAATGCGATGATATTACATACAAAATATGAAAATATGCCATTTAATACTACAGTACATTTTTTTTTTCAAATGCTTGTCAAAGCACAGTGAAAATTATTTTCTAATAACACAGAACTATTGAGTCATGTTTATATAAAACATGAATATAATTTTCCATCGGAAATTACCAATATTGATTCAAAATCATTTGAATAATAACACTGTACGTATGTTTATTCATACACATACAATTTGTTGTATAAGCTATTATGAAATTTCAAAATTAAAAACAAAACATTTAAACCAAGATAATCTCAGATTACTCGGAAATAACAATATTCAATATAATTTGTTCATAAGCATACGATCTGTTGTATAATCTGTTATGCAATTGACTTAATTAACTGAGGGATTCTCATATTAGTAGGAAAATACCAACATTGATTCATGATTATTTTAATAATAACAGTACCTGGACTATTATGTAATTTTAGATTAACATAACACCTAACTTTAGTATTCTTAGATTATCTTTTTTCAATCCTTTTTAAAGATACAATATTGATTGTACAACTCCCATCTCTTGTTTGAGAAGTTTACCCCTCTGGTGGCGTCAAACAAAGCGCGAAATGTACAAAGCTTTTAACTCATTCACCCCTGAAGACACATGTGAACTATTCCAATTTAAAGGTTAGAATAGTTCATTATGAAATTTCAGGGGTGATTGAGTTAAATTCGCTGCAGATTTTTATAATTAGTTATGGCCACTGACTGACTGACACGGTGCTTAGCGAACTTAACACTCCGCTAATTCCTGAAACATGACATGAAAGAGTGACTGTCTGTGGTTGTATCACTGTTCAATCCAAGTATAGACGTTTGTTATCAAACAGTAAAATTCAAAGGTGAAAATAGTTGTTTTATATAGTAACAAACTCAATACCTTTTAGCAGCACATAAGGATGAAAGAGTCCAGCACGCATATCACCCATACAAAAGGCAATTTGAGAATAAACTATATTTAAAAAACTTAAATTTAAACAACAATTTCTGTTAATCTTATCACAGGAAAAATATTTTAGCATTTTTGAACATATGATCATGATAAATATATCCGTTTAAATAATAACAAAGATACTTAATTAATGTCTTATCTTTTGATAACAACTCTTATCACAAAATTCACAGCTTATTGGCTCTATATGCTGAAGCCATATCCGGAAATCATTCAGGTTATTCATTTTATACAATTCTCTTGAGCAGATGAGGAAAACGGAACGGCTCTGTGAGATCAGTTAGACAAATACATATGTAAACAACTGTTACTGTTTTCAGTACCGCGGTGGGTTTTCCTCGTACGGTACATAGTTCGGAGGTGAATTTCTGTCATCCTCATAAGCTGGAGGATTGGAATCCGAACTTAGCCCAAATGAGTATGTAGGAGGTGGAGAGCAAGGAGGAAAATATGGATTACATCCGGGAGGTCCATGAACTAGATAAACTGGTTGACTTTCCGTCTCGGAGTAAGGCGGTGGGTTTATAGGAACCATTGGGATGTTCTGCTCTAGACTCCAGATTTGACTTTGGCTATGTGCACGTCGTGGAATGAAAGGTGACACATGAGAAGGAGACGGTCGACGACGCGATCGATCACGTGGGCGAATATCTACATCACTATGCTGAGGTGATACCGACGTCCGTTCCCGTCCATTGTTTCTAACGCTGCATCGTCGACAACACCTCGTGGAGCACATGCAGCAGACAGCTATTATGACTACTAGTAGACACAGTCCACCTAACACACCACCCACTAAAGTTGAGAGTTTAGCACCACCCAGCGGTTCACCTTCCGGGCTAGTGTTCTTAGCTAAAAAGAGAACAAAACTTAAAATGATATATACGGTTTTGCTAGGTTATGAATAATAATTAAATTTGCTCTAGATTTAGTATAAAACATTAGACTTTTAATTTATGGTGTTTTAATCTGGCGCTCCTGTTCTAATTCGGAATACGTATTCAGTGGTACATGAAACAAAGTCACAAGATGACAATATATTGGTATCATTCATTTTCAGAACATGTATTTGATGTATGTAAAAAAAATGGTATATAAACATCAAAATGTAGGAAGAGATAAACGACCAATAGTGTATTGCCTGATCACATATGTAAATACTAATAAGACCAGAAAGAGAAAAATTATCAATGTGTATGTCAAAATTAACCAGTATATGTGCAAATATCATCATTATACACATACAAGTTCAGTCTATATTATTCGATGATTGTATAACTTTCTTCTCTGCTATTCAATTTTCAGATGAAAAGGTATTTCTACCTAATTATACAAGTAAACATATATAACAAATAAAAAATGACACCTACCCAACTGACCCTACCCCATCCTCGCTATATTTCTGCACACCATAATTGGATTTGATATATTTTAATAAGAAAGTTACAAATTAGCTGTTTCATTAAAATTGATATTTGTGTTTCATTTAATATTTCTATTTATTTATCATAAGGGAAGTTTTTGTAATTACAGGTTATTTGTTTATGAATATTTATAAAGGGGATATTCCCTTTCCTTCTTTTTTTAACCAGTTTATGAAAAACATGTTTCGATTGTATACCCCTTGACACGATGGGACGACCTCTTTCAAATACAAACTTTGGACACATCTTTTTATCTGTCATTTGCATAGACAAAAAATGAACTGGAAATCAGGGGACCTTAAGACCGTCTTTCAGGCATTCACTTAAGTTCAACTTGTCATTATTTTAAATACAAGCGTGTTTAAGTGATGACAATGGCTGAAAAGCGTATCACAATATACAGACGTTGGGCGGACAATGGGCGTTGCACTGTTGACTTTCAGGTTGTCTGAACTGACAGGATACTATAACATTAGTTATATTGTAAACATAGATTTTTTAAAAACCTAAAAGACAGAGGTGCTTCCGAATATTGATATGTATATACATACTTGTGGTTTTTGTATTCCGGTCTATAGGAGGGGGATATGTGCTGCTTATTGTTCTGAAGTCTACAGTGCAGTATGTGAATTTGAATCCTCTTTCATTTATTTCTTCATCCGTATGGAAATGGAAGTATAAGTAAATGCCGCTTGAGACAATCGAGAAGGTATCCGCCCCGCAGAACCTTCCAAACGATGGACTCCTGTCGTCGTAGCCTACAGATTAAACATTCATTTAGAATTTCATCAATGAAGCGATTGTTTTCCAACAGTTATTTTTTTGTCCTTTTTGTAATATGCAAATACTAGAATATTCTTTAACATAATAATAAACAATTGTCACTCCTAATCCAAGTAATTAAGCCCCCTGGCCTTTGTCAATAGCGAAAGTTAAGGATGAATACAAATTACGTCCATCTTGCTCCTTCAAACGTAGAGGAAATTGTCAAGATGACTGTACCTTGAATCCATCCTTGACTTTCGCCACTGACAAAGGCCAGCAGGCCGAAATACTGAGGCTGAGTATGACAATTGTTTTATCGTCGATATTGTCATATTGTAATTTCAATTCTTTACTAGCAATAACATTTATCAGTATAAAGTTATGTATCTCATGTTCTACAAATTATCTAAAGAACTACTTATTGAGTGAATATTGCTCATCTTAAATGAAAGAAATCGTAGCATCACTAATATCTTTACCATGACACATTACATGTTTATGGGTTTTACGAATAAGTCATACGATAACCATGTATTTGAAAGACATTTATTTATACCCTGTTGTTTAAAGGTCATATAAGATCAAATTCGATATATATTGAATACAACGAATCATTCATTGCATTAAATGAAAATAATAAAAAAAAATGATTAAATATAAGCAAATAGAATGTTTACTTACCATCAAATATTTCAAGATAATCGAACTCACACTGATTTCCATATTCTATTTTTATATCCTTCATCTTGATCTTGATTTTTTTGTCAGGATACTTAGACGTTAGCCTCCATTCACAGTCAAGATCTCTGTCAACAAAGTTTATTCAAATAATCCCGTGAATATGATCCCTTCCTTTAGGGTGAAACATCACAATCTGAACCAGACGAATAATATTCCTTTACTTTGAAGCATACGTCCTTGGTAGTAATTGTGATGTATTTATGTTATAAATATTCCAGCAACAACATTTCTGGTTGGCTTCACGAAAGTATGTCTCTACTTGCTGATGTAGTAATATATATATATGTTGTAAAATTTGTAAATTCACTTGCATTGTATATATGGGAAAGATATAACAAACGCATAACTTGAATCTAAACAACGCATATACATGTTTCGTTTTTCAGAAGTGACAGTTCTGATTGTTAATATTAACATATCATGTCTCCCAAGCCATTTGTCACTGTTAAATATATCAATAACATATGGTTCAATTTGTTACGTACCGTGAGTACATGTCCGGGAATTTATACGATGTGAGATACTTTAGACGATCGGATACTTCCTCATCCTCCGGACATTTGTTAGAACATGTTCCTGTTAAAATGTAAAATACAACGTGCATGAACACATTTATAAACATTTTCTTCGTGTTGGTAAGTGTAGATTGTAGAAAGGTACATATAACACAACAGGTGAGGTATCTATGTGACTAGTACGATCTGTAATCTGTCACCTTCATGAAACAAATGACAAGTAAATCTTATGTACACCAAGGTGTGTAATTTGTACGATTTGGTAACATTGAAATCAGAATCGATTCGGCTACGCATAAGCGTATACGTAAGTACACTAAAGTATAAATTATGTACGAGTTGGCAACTATTAAAAAAGCAAGTGTATATTTAGTTGCTAAAATCTACAAAATGACAATTGCCTCAAAGTGTATGCTAAAATACTTATATTTTGTAATTACTTACTATATTTCGATACATTTTAATACAAAAAAATGGACAAATTTAATGTAATACGCTGATTCAAATTGACGCATAGTTATATGTTCATGTTCAAAACCTTATTACGCTTTCTCCATGTTTGAATATACTTTTCCAACAAATCAAATATAGCCCTTCAACAAATACAGAACATGTCCAAAAGGCAAACATAATGTCTTAATAGTTTGATACTTAATGTGTTTTGCCTAAATAGTATGATACTTGTTGTTATCACAGTACTTGTTTACGTGTGTTTTTACATGACAGTATATCTAATAGGTGTGTGTTCTTATATTACTATATCATATTCAATAGGTGTGTTCTAGCATGACTTTATATAATATTTAATTAATAAGTGTGTTAAAATATAACAGTATAATACCGTACAGCCATGTTTAAAAAAAACTGAACAGTATCATTTATATTGAACATGTATATTAAAAGGTATCGTTTACCGTGAAACATTACAATTGGTGTCGCGTTTGTATCAAATGAAACGTAAACGATACCGATTCGCGGAATGATCAGTTTATTTAAACCCGGTGCATATGTACCAAACAGATTATCCACTTCATTTACTACCGGGTTGATTTTAATCCGCTGGATGCAATGCTTAAGTTATGTCATCATCCTTAGGATTTAGCATATCGTCAAAACAAATGCTTACTTGTGAATCAGTTCATATTTGTTTATATATACAATTAATACATGTTGCACATCAAATTCATGCAGGATTAACTTTCCATTGGCATTTGCAAATTTTGAATATATGTGGATGTTGTCAGGAAAACAAATACGAGAAAAAGGGAAATTGCCAGATATAGATATATACCGCCATGGAGCAAAATAACATTGTGATACATTGGAATTCACCACAGATGTGTTACACATATTTTTACATAAACGATTTATGCTAACATAAACAGTTATAAACGATCATGGCAACATTTACAATAACAAGTGTACAGTTCATCTCGTTGTATCGAAGAAACCGGTATAAGGAGAAGAATAACAGATAGTGTGTTTCTGGACTGTATCCAATTAACTTAACATTGTTTATGAACATATATGTAATATAACGTTCTAGGCAGTAGATAAAATACCACAGTTTCTGCTGTATATATATAAAGAAAGAGATGACCGAAGCGTGAATAGAACTACAATTCGACCTAAAAATCGATAAAACTAGGACAAAATATGCACAAAGGAAAGATATACATGGATACCCTGGGTAAAGTACAAGGAGAAAAGAACAAGTGTCCCAGAAGGGTAAGCGTCTTCTGCTTTATCGATGACACCTGCATTGTAAATCTAAGTCGAACCAAAGCAACGTCATGTCCTCACATGGAGAACTCTGGTAGTGACAGTGAAACCACAAGGTTATTTAATATACACTGTACCTTGTTGAGTCAAGGTAGCTCGTACTAGGAAGAACCAGGAAGAGAACAATCATTTGTTATCCTAGTAACTGTAACTACACTATAGTACATGTTTCTTTAACACTTTCACCACTGTGGACCATAATGGACTCATCCAAATAAAAGTATGGTAGAGACTACTTAAGTTACCTAGGGGTGAAAGGGTAAAGACATAAAAAAGATTATAGGATATAATTTGTTTTCATATTAAATTTGTTAATCATGTGTAGTGTTCCAATTTGTGTCTTAACCGGGTTTGACTTTGAAATGTGAATATTTGAACTGTTTTCTGCATACTTAATAACCATTACAAATCCCTCATTTAGAGATAATAAGCTGGAGGAATATTCGGATAATTTATTTGAGTAGTCTGAATCATTATGACCAAGGACTGATATCTATAGATTCATGTGTTTGTTCTGTAACAAGTTCTCTGCAAACAAAACGCCAAATCGCGAAGGTTTTATTGAGTAAATATCAGTGCATGCTTTTCTAGATTGAATGTATTCCAGGACACGAAGGCTAAATAACCCTGTATAAACATGTGATTTGCAGAAATGATAGGCTGTTTTTAAATTGTAAGTGATTAGCCAACATCTCTCTAATAGTGCGCTAGCATTTACACTGATTACCCCACACAAATATTTAAAAACAAATAAAAAACTCACCTAATGTAAAAAGGCATAGAAAAATATAGCAGCCAGCTATAAAATTGGCTGAGGTGATGAGTTCAGTCGCACTACATTCCATGCCACTGTAACAGAATAGAAATATAGTCGTTAAAATGTGCAACAAACAATTATTTTAATTTAACTGGTATTGATGCAAAAACTAATGTATTGTAGCTGCAACTGTTCTAAAATCTGTGTTTCTTGATGATTTTGTTTTGTTTTTCATTCCTTGTTTTTTTTATGTAAATCTGAAAAAAAAAAAAAAACATATATAAGATGTTACTTTTAAATGATGAACCTGCTCTAAAACATTGTCCTATTTTCAATTCAGCACAGAAAAACCCAGTGTTCCTTGTGAAATCTTAATTAAGTTAACCGCAGCAAGACATTTTATAATAAATTTTCTCGAAAATCAGTATGTTTTTATGGAGAATTCCGTTTAAGGATAATGATATCATTATTCATTGTGGTAGCGTACAGCACACGCAATAGTATGTATTGAAACATTTGTGTTTTTCAAAAACATTATTTAATATTGGCTATCCGACTAGCATATATATCACATGTGTTTTAGAAATAAGGACGCGTTTCTATCAGAAGAGAAATATGACAACGCTTCTATGTTTGATGTGTCTTGTGAGACATTATTTAACTATTTACATTCACTATCTTAAAGTGAGTTGATAGTAAAGAATTTAAGCAATTTGTGAAATGTCAAAAACATAAGTGTTTTTTAACTGTAACCATATTTCTATTTAAGAACTTTTATCAGCGTCACAGTTTTCAAGCATGCTATTATATTTTTTACTGTAGTGTTATTGATATATTACTACAATATAACTTTATTAACTTTTAACTCTGGATGACGTATTTTATTAGATTTCTATTAACTAACCTAGAAAGTTTTGTCATTTAGAACTGACTAAGAGGATGTAAATAAATAATTAGTAAACATTAATTTGAGTAACATTTGCAATGAATGAAATTAGTTTTTTTGTATAAAAATGATCAATAAACTTAATACATGTACATAACTTAAATGTGATTAAATGATTAATGAGAGTCAATTTGTTATTAAACTATTCCGTCTTTGCGTATTGCAGAGTTATCTTCTCTTGGGAGCAGGTATTGATTGTTACGTCACTTGTTTGTGAGAGTAACGTCATCAATTTTTGAGAAAACGACGTAATTTTCTCGCACAAACCAATGACGTAACAATCAATACCTGCTCCCAAGAGAAGATAACTCTGCAATACGCAAAGACGGAATAAGAGTAAGTTAGTGATGAAATGATCCACAATAACAAATAAGTATTAAAGCATCAACAAGTACAATGTTGTGTTTAAATGATTAACGATAGACAATTGTTATTTTAATATCAATTTTAGTAAACTTTTGTTTATATGATCACTATTGTTTGTTTTTTTTTATAATTTTTGAGAATGATTTGCCATACATTGAATTAGATGTGATCAATAATATTGACAGTTCTTGTCATACATGTATGTATTAATGTTTTAAGACATAGTTCTCTATTACTTTGTTTTGAAATGTTATCTTAAACAAATATATATATGATAACAAAATAAATCATATATTGAAAAATTCAATTCATTATTTTATCATATTGCTTTTACATGAATATTTAAATAAATGTGTTATTTGTATAAACTTCAAACCTGGTCAGCCAAATATCTTTTTAAACAAATTGTAACTGATCATACGTTTATATGTATTAAAGCCTTAATAAAATATGCATGTTATCGGCACAAAAGAATCTCCCTCATATAATCAATAAAATATATTCATTTTTCCCTTCATGTATTGATAAATAATGTCTTTATAACCTGTTATTTTTTTGATAAAAATACAATAAAATTATATCACGATATTTTATAAATTAAATCATAAATGACAAGCATTTAAAATTTGATTTTAAAAACATGTAATTACTGTTAAAGATCAATAAGAAACCACTAGGTAACGGAAGTAAATTTAATTAATCTGATTGTTTTTTTGCAGTTTACTTCAAATAACAATGATAAGGTTTGCATTTTTTCTAATTGGGATTATTAAAATGTAAATCAATCAAGAACTCGATTGTTCATGATATTGATTTTAATAAACAAACTCATAACATATATCGCATTAGTCTAGTATATTTTCCCACATGCATTATTACAATAAGAAAATATCGATAGTTTTGGAGAACAAGAAAGGATAATGAGGAACGTTCTGATCACTAAATATTGGGAAGAAGTAATTAACATAACATGATATACATTAAAAGACACTTTTTACATACAAAATATAATTAGAAAAAGGGCAAAAATGTGTCAATTAATGTGACAAAAGATAAATATAAGGAGAAAAGTAATTCTTATATAAGAACTATATTTTGCCATATCGATTATATTTTAATATTTATATTGATAAATTATTTGAAAAAAACACAATGATTTTAGGCATGAAGAAGTAGAAAAAATAATACAAAAGACATATGTCATTTGTCAATCTTCAACTCTTACTTCTCATACACTGTTAGAAAGGTGAAATATCTACTGAGTGAGTTATAACGATTAATTGGAAAAAATATATATTTTTAGACATGTATTTTGTAAAAGAATTTTAATTGATTAAATGCTGAGCTTCCCATCTACCATAGCAATTTAGAGAATCGCTGTATTTTACAGCTATCATATGTTAAAACTGCATCACAAAATTTACAAATTAGCCGGATATATTGAAATCGATCCTAATATTTGTTCTGATATATATACAATGAGTACAAAGATCATATTGCTTATACGTTTTGTGATGACAACAGGGAAAGAGTCCTATAAATTTGCACATTGATCGGGGTGATGTTATATTATATAAATATATATATATACAACTGTGGAGGGGTATATAAGCACATCTCCCCAACCCAGTATTTATTTACAATAGCTTAACCTGTGCTTGCCTTGAATGTCTTTATACTAAGCATGATCAATATAATATGTGATATGAAATATACACATGAAACTATAAGTGTATATGTGAGATAACTTAACACCTGATGTTGAATTACGTTGTATAAACTACATATAAATATTAACAATATTTCAGTAGGCGGTTCTGTTACGTATGAACGGAGAGTAATCCGTTGTTAACCATAAAATCCTACAGTGATACAGCTAGTATATGTGTCAAAACATATGCGCTACTATTGACATATAGTGAAACACCCAACCACTAAAGCTTACCTTGAAAGTTACCAGAGATCTCCAGTCCAGGTAAAGATAATATTCGGTCTACTTCCGCGTTGATCAAAATCACCATTTTCAACCATTAGTGGACTAATGAAACCCACGAAATTTCATTTCGTTCGCGACTGAGTTAAATATCGATGATGAGGTTGGCGATTCGTTGTAGATCTGTCCATTGTCTTAATTAATTACGCCATCTTATAAAATATCCGTCATCGGCTCGACAGGTCAGGCTTACGACCACGTATATTGGTATTGGAACTGAACATTATATGTGTTCTCTGAGCATTACATCCATTGTACCGGGTTACAAAAGTAATACACACGAGATTCTACCAGTCACTTCTGAATATGAATAACAGGTGGGGTACATTCAAGGGAAATCTACCCATGACCTACTTCACTTAATTCGTATTGGTTGAAATGATGAAAAAAAACCTTAGATATAAACGTTTTTTAAATTTGTATCAGCTCTTACACTTCAAAAGCGTAACGATACATCTGTTTATTTCTTATTAACCATCCAATGATATTTATTTACCAAGGTATGTGTATCCGCGGGGTACTCCGGCTCGCTTTGCTCTGTTGACTACATTAAGCGGGATCGTGTAGAACGGGTCTATAAATAGCCGGCTATGTTGATATAGTCTCTAAAGCTGACCCTAGTTCAGTAACACTCGAGTGGTGGTTTAATATGTATAACTCATGATTATCGATCCTATTTTAAAAAATGTACAGTACGCTTCTGACGATATTGGCACGATCTGGTCTAATTGCTGGTTGTAAACTGGGACCATTGGCCTTGATAAGTTCAGCATAGGCAGTAATTGTCTGTCAGACACGAGTATAATCCAGCATGTTTCGTTAAGATTAGACGCCGACACGAGTATTGCTTTAAGAAAGAAAGAAAAATCAGTTTGTAATTTTCTTTAAAAAAATTTTTTTCAATAGAACTAAAATATATAATTTGCTTCTCATTTTGCAAGTTATTGACAACTGAAAATAAATAAATAGTTCGCTATGCTATGCTTATGCACTATTTAGCTCAAATGTCCAAGTATGTAATTATATTTTACATAAAGTGCATGCTGTAATTAGGCGTGATATTTTTGTTAAGTTCAATCGCACTTTGAAGTAGTTTTTACGTCACTTGACCACTTAGAAGGTGCAGTAAAATGGTGTGTAATCGTCTTAATTTCTTAAACTAAAAATGTCCATTCTCAATGTACAATAATTTTAATAACTTTATCAATGTAAAAAAAAAAAAAGGAAACCCTATAATATAGGTTGATTTTTTGCTGTTTTGTGATAGGATGGTAAACCTAAATTAACAAAATACAGATTAACTATTTATTGTATATATATTCTTTTCCATATGTGTATTATGTATGTTCACAATTCGGTAGCATAAGCCTCACCAAAAATATATCTAAATATAGCACAGTTCTGCAACACCTACATTGTAATGTAATGTGCAATTTACTTCCATGCAGAAGGTGTTTACAGAATGTCATACATATATATCGATGTAAATATTATATTATATTATATCATATCGTAGGTAATTAGCACAATTGATGTAGAACATAAACGAACATTGTATTCATCGTAAAGAAACATCAGCTCAGATTGAATGTATTGAATATATGCACTGTGATGTATAAAGCTTTTGATATCAATGTATCAAAAGTGCGTGATTGAAGCATTTGAAAAACATAGCTGGATAATGAGTGCACGTGAAAACTGATATTTGTATACAGTACATTACAGGTGTCTTCAGTATTTTAGCTTGCATCGATGTTTAATTGAGATTGTCTATTAATTATTTTTATAATTGAATGCATTTATATAAAATATGAGTTTGTTTTTCCTGAATGTGAATGTGAACGTATACTTGACAAGAACGTTATGTTGCATTTATAATTATCAAATATCTACATAAAGGCATTAAGTAATCATTGCATTGGATCATGTACTTGTTAACTTGTCTTGTAGCACAATGTAAAACATTTGCCCATTGGTAAACGTATTTATTCAAGCAGAATCTGTGAATAAACGAACAACGAACACCTAGCGCCAGGGTATACAAAGCTGAAGACTCGAATCAAAATTGAATGACCTTTTGATGTTTATATTTAAATTCAATTTACCATATATCACGTTGTAAGATAAAGTTTACAGATCTTTATATTACTTCATTGGTTTGAATATTTTTATAAACCAACGATTGTGTATCGATTCTCGATATCTGATCCGATTTAAAAGTATTTGCATTGTATAGGTATTCAAAGTAAATTTAATACATAAGCCCCCACTTCAAATTAAATTTTGTTTTAAAGGAGTGTAGGAAAACAGAAACCTTTCTAAGAGAAGACTTTATTGTTTATCTGTATAGTGTAATGTAATCCATGTTTGGTATGCTGTATCTATTATCACTTTTGTAAGGGTACACTTTCATGTTCCAAGACTGGGTTAGAAATATATATCTCAAGGTACACATTGACATTAAACTTTCGACATAGTCTATCACAAATTTTCCCCAAAACAAAATCATGGTTTATTTATGTTTTACGTCCTTTTAACAGCAATGGTCATTAAAGGACGTGCCAGTTGGTGGAGGTAGAGGAAAGCCAGAGATCCCAGAGAAAAAACACCGACCTACGGTCAGAACCTTGCGACTGCCCCACGCATGGCATTGGACCCGCTACCCAGTGAGCGTGGGGGAGGTTAATGATTAAGATAGTCAGGCGGCGTATTCTACCGACTCGGCGATGCAATTTCCTTGATTAAAAACGTTGTACTATCGGACACTACTATATTCGTGTACATGTATTATTTACGACGAAGCCACGGGCGTGCAATACTTTTTCAAAAGCCTCACTCGTATAGGCAATGTGAACAAGTTTAAAATGTTACTGAGTATGACAGGTCTTTTGAGATTTTTCTTTTAGATCAATTGAGGGTTCATGCGTCCATCTACGTACATATATTTTATCGTTTGCACATCCACTCAAGTTATACTTGCAAAACACGACAACTGACTACGCCTGTACAAATCATGGAATCAACAGAGACATCGGCGTGTTGTAGAAATGAGCAAACAGATTAGCTCAGTGTATTAGTCAATTTTCAAGGGTACGTAGGTAGACACCAAACACATTTAAATTGATTGCATTAGGTAGAATAGCTACCGTGTTTATATATTGTGCTGGAATATAGTACTTGGGATTTAAAATGTTGGAAAAATTAATTAACTCGGGATGAGACAGCATTTGTTGATTAATCATTTCCAACATTTTCAGGCCCACGTTATAAAATCTATATAAAGAATGCATGTATGTTTATTATTCCTTAAATACAAAGATTGGATCTTTCAAACTCCTTAATTAATGTTTTCACTTAACAACATGTAAAAGGATAGGAACTGTAATGCTTACGTTAGCCATACTGCATTTATCTTTCTAACTTTTCTATTTAAATTCTCATTTTTAAACTTACAACAAGGCGACAATAATATATAAAGATGTGTAGATGTTTTCTCTCCTAAGGATAAACATGTTTGCACCATTATTTCACAAAACAAAATAACAATAAAACAGCCCACTCGACAAAATGTAGCATTTGACATTGAAAATAACCAAATTACTCATGCTAGACTTAAAACCACGCATCTAAGGTTGTTATTGTCAGTTTGTTCGAGGTATTATATTACGTGTAATATCCGGTTTTTGTGTCGATATAAATTAAACTATTCAACTAAGATTTCCATTGACAGAAATAAATATAAAGTCTGAGAAGGATATTGTTCGAATGGCCATAATCTATTTTCGTTTGATCAATAATAAGATATCGGTATTGCAATGTAGACTTAGATTGCAATCACTTTTATATATTTCCGAGTTAATCGTGTCTCCTCAGGTTTCGGTAGTGAAATAGGTATTCAAGAAGGGAGACAAGGTTAAAGTCATTTTCCTCTCGAAATTAGGAAAACCCGTAAAGTAAAATTCCTTCGCAACAATTAAACATACTACCTTACTAAGAATATTCTTTCCCCTCGCTACCAACTTTATACAGAAGCAAAGAACATCTTAAGACTAGATATGTCAAACAGCTTCCCTTACTTTCTACTTAGGAGGCACGGTAGTCTAGTGGTAGGACGCCGGGCTCGTGACGGAAGGGTTGCGGGTTCGAGTCACGGCACGGCACTATGTTGTATTTTTGAGCAAGATACGTTACTCCGCTCGTTCCAGTCAGCTCAGCTGTAAATGAATACGTGGTAGGGCAATGCAAGAGTTGTTGAATGGTTACTGTGAGCGCCGAAATGGCAGCACCGGCTGTATGCTCCCCAGGGCGTGGAGAAAAATATTGGCTGGTTGCAAAGGCCCTATAACCACGAATGATAATTTGTGAATCGCTTTGAGACGACCTACGAACTAGGTTGTGATAAAGCAGTATATAAAAACTTCGAATTAATATTATCATTATTACTCGTGCAGTTAAAAGGTCATTAATATTGTCGATTGGAAACTCTAGGGCCAATAAGAACAACTAAAGTTGCTAAAAAAGCTACTTAGACAGGGTTTCAATCTGAGAGGTGTAAGGGCCTACATGTAGCACTGCCTCAAATTCCTTTTTATGAAACTATGTTTGTGTCTACAACGATAAATAAATGAAATACGTGCATTCCATAATTTGACAGAACACAATCTGGGTAAAGGTACATGTACACTTACTATATGCCCGTAGACTGTTTTATCTAATTTCGGTTGTAGAGTCATGCTTTCTGTCCTTTTTGACTGATGCCCCCTAAGCTGCTGTGTTCATTATGTACCGATCTTTATGAGTATTTCTATAATTCCTCATGGGACCATATATTTCTTTAATACGTGATGTTTTGATTTCTATTCTGATTTTTTCCTGTATTTTAAAATTGTGGTAATTAAATTATTTGTATCTAATTGTCAGATTTGAGGCTATTTTCACGTGTGTGTTGTTTGTTGGGTTTTGAGAATTGCTTATTATTTGCGTGTTAATATCCCGTGCAGAGAATGTGTCTGAGGGCAGGGTCATCCCTCAGAGCGAGAGGATTTTCTCAACTGGATTCTTGCAGGGACAAAGAACATTTGGTGAAGATTATAAATGCTTTTAGTATGACGGAAATCACGTAGACACTATTGCAATCTGTTTTTCTTCAATGGGTACGTACTTTGATCCAACTTCGGGATTTAAAAGTTACCTTTTCTCAGCTATTTCATTGATATTTTTTTTCTTTAAGGAGGGAGGAATGGGGTCATAAAATATTTCTTTTGGTCTGAGGTCTCCTCAGTTTCTGTAGAATTTGGAGTATGTGTAGACGCCGTGTATATATTCAGCATTGAAAGGGGTACAACTCTTATATATTTACCTGAACAAATATCGATTTTCTTCTGTCTCGGGT